CAAAAAACAATAAAAAAATAACCAACTGAAGGTTAGGCTAAAAAGCAGTGCACTTAGTTTAGGCTGGAAAAAAAGCAGTGCAGTATCATAAAGCAACACACTTCACCTGGCTAGGCAAAGCAGTGCAGTATCATAAAGCAACGAAGTTCCAGGATACACACATGAATGTAGGGTCTGCAGTAAGAAAGTGAAGGGAAAAAAGATTGCAGCACAAACTTGTAGACAAACATGTAGTGCTTTCTCTTGGACGAAGAAGTTCATAATCACATGCAATGCGGTTGAAAAATGGGACACATAAGATACATATAAGTTTGTTAAAATGCCAAATTCACACAGAACATGTAAGTCAAACAAAAAATAAAAATATACACATATATATACTGTATGAATTATTTATATAAAATACACATACAGATACAAATTCGTCCATAAAACACTGCTGCAAAAAGAGCAGACGAGAATCACAAAAAACAGTAAAACAAATGTCTTTTCATACATTATATACCTTAGACACCACGCATCACACAACATGAACCCCTAGTTCTTGTCCATACACAGGGTTTATACAAATGTAGATTGTTACTGCGTCTGGGACTGCGTCTGTGATTGCGACAGGGAAGTAAGCCCGAGGTCCGAAATCAGTTCTCGTAGCTCAAGCGGCATGTCTTCATAACACAACATGTTCGAGGGATTGAACAGCAGCTGGAACATGTACTCCGCCTTCCAATCTTCAACAGCAGGCTGAAAAAGAAAATTAAAAAATGCAGACAGTGATTAAATAAAAAGAGTGTCATAAAGAAAAAAAGTGAAACGGTAAAAATAATAAAAAAAAGTAACAAGAAAAAGAAGAAAAATAGAGAAGGTTTTACGTCGGTTTTGATAATTTTCTCAACTAAATGTTGGCCATCATACAACTGCGTCACCCTCAGAACATAGATTTCGCACTCATTTGCTCCCTGCGCTGGCACGACCAGGTAAGAGGGCTTCTCTGCCAATTTAACCCAGTCAGGATCGTTCTTAGATTTACACATTTTTTCACCATAAATTGCCTTCAGCAACTGAGTCATCCTCCTCATCTGGCAAAAAAATGAAGCACAATGTAAAAATAACACACACCACAGATCAAATTACGATTCAGATATGAAAGTTGTTTTCGACGTCTAGACAGTCCCTCTTTTAAATGCACATGAGGTCATTTCCTTTTATCTCCTTTTTTACATGGATTACGGGGGGTCTGAGAAAAATGCAGTTCTGTCATGCGTATGTTGCAGTGCACTACATAAACACGTGTGGTACTATGTGTGCTAACATTACATGTGCAGTTTATCCAAAAAAATGCAGTAGGAGAAACACAAAAAAGCTTTGCACTTGGCAAGAAAAAATGACATACCACTTCAGTGCAATTTGAATGGTAATCACTCATGTGCCACTTTGTCGTGACATCAGGATGGCCAGTGTACTTCCTAGTGTCATGGATATCAAACGTATGACGATGCTGGTTCATCGTGTATAAGGAATAATGACCATCCTTGGAGCACGGCATCATAATCTGTTCACATAAAAAACAAAAAATGAAAACTTATTTCGACACGTAGCACTAGAACCACTGCTCCAAAAAATTAACTAAAAAGAAATACAACAAACCAGAAAAATAAACGACGGGAAACAACGAACTTACTAGTTTCGCATCCAACAGGTTTACGTCGTCACTCACAAAAACCTTGAACTGCTTAACTGCATCTTCTAAAACAAACGTGCTATGCGAAACTGGCAACACAGGGTTTCCTTCGTAATATCTCTTCACAAATGTGCAGTTTATCCAAAAAAATGACAGCACACGTTTACCGTGATAAATAAGGGTGAAAGTAGCACACGTTCACCAGAATGATAAACTAAACCCATTTCAACGTCTTGCTTCCAGTACTTGATGACAAAATCCATGAGATACGAATCCATTAAAGCTCCTTTGCCAAATGTATTATAGATATAGTCAACATTGTAAGTATCAAGATCACCAAAAGGACTGTTCACCATAAAGAACGCATTC